AAATTTTTCGACCTTAGTCCTAGTCCCTGAATGTAACTATGAATTGCTAGTTTATTTCCTGGTGTACAAGGTTTCAAATAGTGTGTACACAAATCATCCAGGACCCTGGAACAGCACATCCTTAGAAGCACTGGTCATACTGGGGACTGCTAGAGTCCACATCCTTGATGAGATCCCCCTGGTGCTGACGGTCTCAATGGCATGGAGTGGCCTTCAGGGGAAAACTGCAGAGCTCCAATCTTGGGTCCTCTACTTCAAACCCGCAGCTTCAGACCGTGTAGCTGTGGGCACCGACTCTTCTTCATGGTGCAGGGACCTAGAGGCACGTGGGTGGGACCCTGAATGTTGGGGCTTCTCCTCTTGCAGTGCTGCTAGAGCCTGGCATCTGACAACAGCGCCACCCACCAGCGCTCCTGGGGAGGGCTCCGCTGGCCAGGAGCAGAGCTCTGCAGGCAGCTCCTCTTTCCCAAGCTTGTGCAACCTGGCCCTGAGAACATGGAGCTCTCCAGGGGCCAGAGGCCCTGGCGCAGGATGGCACACTTGTTCACTGCTATCCTGTCTGTGTTCCATGTTGACTGATGATTTCACTCAAAGGTACATTGAAATGAAGGCTTTAGATCTGCCTTGAACAACTGACCATCTTTCAGGGCCTCCTGAGGATGGTTTCCAAGTTTCTAAACGTGCTTGAATATCTCTGATACTAATTTGAGTAGTTTATGGGTTTCATCAGAAAGACATGATAGGCTCTTCATATTTTAGACTAATTCTGCAGGTAACTAAGCTTGCTAGTCTAGAAAACTTTTTCATAACTTTCAGATAATGATGTCCACTGACCATCTTCCAAATTCTGGGGATATTTCTTTTCGAAGCATGTAGTCTACCTCTCCCCAGTCACAAGCGATGAAAATTTGAGTAGCTATTATTTTTCTGTATATTAAATTATAGCTATAAACCCTTCCTGAGAACTTAAATGAGAAGTAAAATCTATCAAGACGGAACAGCATCCAGGGATTATTCCTCTCCATGTGTCCAGTCAAAGCAGGCGTTTCTCGGTATTAAAGATGGCCTTGCCCTGCAGTGGGGAATGCAGCAGAGGGCCTCAGACATGATCTCCTCACCTTCCTTCTTCTCCCAGAGAAGAAAATGGATTCACAGACAACTTAAATGACTTGTCCGAGGTTATGGGGCTCATGTTAAAGTATTGAAAATGTGCATACGAATATTGACTCAAATGGAAATGTTAGATGGCATGACAGACTCTCAAAGGTGACCGCTGCAGGCTGTCCTCTGGTGTGACTGATGACTCCATTCAGAGAGAGGAGAAGTCTCATCTTGTACCCAAGGTGTGTGTGACAGATGCAGCCCCTGCCACCATGCGGCTGGGGACTGCATTCCATGTGTGCTGGCTCTTGGTGGGAAATACATCACGGAAAAGACAGAGAGGTTCTTATGCAGCTGTGTCTGCAAGAAACTGCAGAGCTACAGAGAAACCTCCGAGCGCTCCTTCCTCAGCAGCAGACTCAGTGGTTCAGCAGGATGGTTCCCGAGGAGCAGCCCCAGCCATAACGTGATGTGCAAGTGCTTCCTGGAGCCTGTCTTGAGCTCCAGGCACGGTGATTTTGCAAGCTGACCAGAGTGGACTTGCTGCCAACTTCTTGTCTGTTCTGCACAAGAAACCTCCTGTCCCTTTGCAGTGTCCACAGCCGGCAGCTCTCCAAGACTCTGCGAGAGAGAATTTCTTTACCTGGGTCAGCTTTGCTGCTCCTGCAGGACGGAGCAAGCCACTGAGCTGCAGCCTTTGACTGTGCCCTGTCACCGAGCACAGCACCTGCTCACCAGGAGAGGGTTCTAGGAAGAGAATCCAGCCTGTTTTTAGGAGAAACCAGGGAGGCCGTCTGCACAGAAGGGCGGAGAGGAAGTGCTGCCCCAACCCCTCCCTCCATTAGGTGAAAATTTTAGTATATTTCAGGAATCTGAGCGGAATCTGAGCTCTAACCTTTGCCTCAGGGCTGCCTTACAGCTTACCATAACACACCTCTAGGAGGCGTAAGGTGCAGATTTGGATAATGAGGGACAATTGCAAGGTAACAGCCACGTTGAATTTAAGTAACACAGGAATGGACAGCAAAAAAAGAAAACCCCGAAGTGCAGTGAGACTCAGATACGAATCTTGAGGTGAGTCAGTTTAGGTGCCAGAACTCAGGTGGAGGCTGTTTGAACATTTTTAAATTAGTTCAAGAAAAAGGCACGATTGTGGTTCAAGTTGTCAGAGTGAATTACTCTTAATAAAGATGAAACTCAGCCTTGTTTTCTCCTTCTGTGCTCCATGTACGGGCATCCCGAGGTCACTGTGAAGATTGCCATGAACAAGGTGGCTGTAAAGAACCGAAAGTCCTGGTCTGGACGTTTAGGGGCCTTGAGCCAGTCCTGGGGTGGGCGGGACCACACTCATCCTCAGGGCTCCAGGCATGACCTGTCCATGGCTGTCGGTTTCTGGCACAGCCGTGGGTCCTTGGTGCCACTCAGTTTGGGGGGAATCACCCCAACCTTTGCCTTCATCTTCTCATGAAGTATAGTGTGCTTCTCTTCTCTCTTCACATGAGCTCCTTGGAGGACCACAGCCACACAGGACCTCATCTTAGCCACTTAAATAGGCGATGGCCCTCTTCCCACGTCGAGTCCTAGTCTGAGGTGCTGGGGGCTGGGCTTCACCCCTGGGGACACAGTCGAGTGCATAGCACTGAAGAGACGTGGCCTCACTGTCCTGCGAATACCTTCCCTCTTGGGGGCTTCCCTGCCCATGGCTTCACATGCACTGTCTGCACCGCATGCATTTTCCTGAGCCCTTCAGAGAATCTGTGCTTCAGGGCGGTTTCCTGAGCAGCCAGGGTGAGCAGGCACATGGTGGCAGCCTGACGCCAATGCCTCTTTTCTCTTGGCTTTTCTGAAATCATACTGCACAGTGTTTGTTGGTGTGGTGTATTTTGAGCCAGTCCATTTGTGGACACAGGACACCCTCCCACCCACCTTCCTGAAGACATCCTGGTCTGCAGTGCTGCGACCTGTGAGCTGGGCCCCCTGTATGCCAGGTGTGGGCAAGAGCACAAGCGTGAGTGGAGAGATGGTGCCAGGGTTTCTCGGTGGTTCAGTCTGACCAGGCGAACTCTTATAGTCACAGGTGTTTTCCTGATGGCGGTTGGAGGACTCGGAGAGTCAGAGAGACCCTGAGGGAGAGGGGCCTAGGTGGACGCTGCTGACTTTGAAAGTGGAAGAGGGGACCCAAGGGTGCAGCAGGCAGCAGGTGACCCTGGACAGTAGAAGAGGAGAGGCACCCATTCATTCCCTGGGGCTGTCATGGAAATTACACAGGGGTAACTCAAAATAAGGCATTTACTTATCGCTTCCGAGTCCCGGAAGCTAGAGGTCTAAGGTGCACAGTGACGCATGGATACTCTTCCAGCCCTCGAAGGGTGGACACTTCCTGCTTTGGCCAGCCAGTACTCTTCCCAAGCTGCCTGAGGGCTCCCAGCACCTGGACTTCAGCCCAGGCCTCCAGAGCTGCAAAGCCAGCAATGTCACTCACTCGCCAGGTGACCTCTTCACTGCGTCCCCAGCACTGGGCCTTGCTAAGTCCTTTACAGGTCCTCTGAAGCCAGAGCCAAAGCACAGAGCTCTCGACACCCAGTTCAGGGCTGAGACCAGAGCCTTGTGTCAGCCACTGGTGCTGGGCTTCTTGGTTCTGATCCACGATCCACTCAGCTCCCACTCTCTCAGGTGCTCCTGTGCTGTCCTGCAACCCAGCCCACCCCACCTCAGGAGCAGTGGAGTGACCTCTACTCCCCCCCCCCCCTTATCAATTGAATCTGACTAATTCAGACAATAGTGTGAGCAGCTTCCTGACTTTGCATAGAAACTGTGAGAGGCCAGGGGGCATGCAGGGAGGCTGCTCCTGAGCCCTGAAGGGAAAAGTCCAACAGGCGTGATGGTGGACTCGCCTGCCATCCTGGGGCTCTAGAGGCTGAAGGGGAAAGGTAAGCTCGAGCTCAGCCTGGGGAACTTAGTGACTTACAAATCTATCTCATAATGAAACATGAAGAGAACGGCCGGGGTTGCAGCTCAGTGAGACGGCCCTGAATTCTGCTCTCTTGAGCTTGGTTCTGTGACGGTGGCACAGTTTGCATGTCCCTGCATCTCAGTGCCACGGAGGTAGAAGGTGGGGACACACAGCTGGGGACAAGAACTCATGGCCAACACCTGCATGAGTCTTTTATTTAGTGGCTGAACCTCTGCTGCCATGGTCCTGCTGATACAGTACTGCCCCAGCCCCTGCATGAGAACCCCCGGAAAGTGTCAAGCACAGTTACTTAGAGTAAGCCTTTGCTACTCTAAACAGGGAAGTCACTGGTGATGGACCCTTAATATTCATCCTGCAACCTAGCATGTTTGCTTCCTCTATTATTTGTTTGAAATTGGAAGATGGTGTAGGATTATGCATATAGTGGCTTCATTTTAAGCACAGTGCTTCACCCTCAAAGATCAGGGGACATAATTCAGGTGGGATTTGGAAGATGTCATTCTATAAGGAGAAGCTGAACATTTTTGTGGTAGAAATTCTGCCTTGGATCTCCACGTTCACATGTGCCTTTGCACACACACACACACACACACACACACACACACACACACACACACGCACAGAGAGATGACAGCATACATAAGTGTATTTTCTGACACCTCCCAGAAAATGTCATTGAATAAATTCCACATTTCCGTGTGTCTGTTCAGGTTCAAAGAATTTCTATATTAAGCCCACAGATGAGACCAGAACTCTCACCAAATTAGCAGATCCAGGAAAGTGGATAAATCTCATCCTTGACACAGTCCCTCGGGAGACTTCGGGGCATTTTAATCCAGAGCAAGAAGTAAGATATTCTCTGCAGTGAACCCAATTTGCCTTTGTGAACCTTGCAAAGCGTGTAATAATATTCATTCACCGTAGATTAACAGCCTGGTTTGTTTTATTATGCAGGAAAAAATGAGATAAATAATGGGCATTATCTCAGGATGCTTGTCCAGGACCCAAGGAATGTCACCAGAGATGTCCCGCCTGCCTGGGGGGCTCCTTCTCCTTCTGATGTCTTATCATAAGATTTATATGTCAGAGGCCAGTGCTCCGAAACGAGGACACATTCCCACCTCCTCCGTGGCTCTCAGAACACCCTGGCCCCGGCCGTCTCTCCAGGACGGAATTTTTCCCAGGCAGCAGTCGCTGTGAACATACACACTCTTGTGCTCACTGCAGTTGACATGGGCATCTCGGGGTTGTGAACTGAGAATCAGGTGTCCCCACATCTGCCTGTCCCCAGCCTGCTCAGCATGCGGGAACACTGTCAGCCTCTGCCCTCAGCTGAGACTGCACAGTGTCCGTGGCCTCCTTCGGTGGCTCTCCCCATCCTTATCAGGAGCAGACCCAGGGGACAGGACAGCCCTCCAGGCAGCATGCTGGGTGGCCTCGAGCACGTGCTACATGGTCTGCACTTCTGGCACAGTGTTCCAGGGACCAATCTGGCCACAGTGACCAACCAGAGCTGGAGGACTCGGAGCAGCCCTGGCGCTCATGCGGTCTGTTCTACACTGCACCCTTCGACACTGGCTGTGGAGCCTCATTCCTGAGGGCTAACACGGTTCTTGCTATTTGATAGGGTGTGGGAGACACTCACAAGAGTATAAAGTGACGGCTATAAACTCTGCCAGCATAAGGAGAAACAGTCTTACCATAAGATTGGTATCTCAGAAATAAAAATAGAAATCCCTCCCCTTTACTGGTAAATCTTCATTTATAATCTCAGCTCCTCGAAGTGGAGAACAGGGCCTTAGAGAAATGGGTCTCTGTCCACAGACCCCAGGGTAAGAGCCTCTGCTTCCTCAGTTTTCACTGTGCAGGTCAGCACCTCTGAAGGTCAGAGGTCAGATGTCAGAGGAGCAAGCTACAGCCTCACTTTCTGCAGACAGGTAGAACTCTGTATGTTTTTGGACACTCCAAGGTGTCTCCAGTGATGTTAAAGACACACTGAATTGTCAGACTCATGCTTACCCAAAATCGACTTTGCTTCCAGGTGCAGGGACGCTGGCAGGTCGAGGGGATGTGCACAGTCTGTGGGGAACGGGATCTTTACAACCACAGTGCTAATCTCTGGCATTGCCTCTGGAGACCTGGAGCGCACTGGAAGTATCGATCTGCTTGATCTTCATAAAACCGCTGGGAAAGAGAGGAGGCAACAGAACACACAGCCCTTATTTCCTGACTTAGAGACCAGACAATTAAATCCAGAATCAGTTTAGGAGGAGGAGCCACAAGGCCAGGTTTTGGGGGACTCAATGGCTTGCCAGCTAAGGTCCCCTTTCTGCTGAGAGTTGCAGGGATCCGTGACTGTTCATTAGCTCCAGGTCCTGGAGCAGACTCTATCTCACCTGCACCTCCCATGCCCGACAGCTCTTGGCCTTTTACTCACCTTTCACCCTCCAGGGCCTCTGCGTTTGAGAAAGATGACATTGTTTATTAAAGGAGCCCTTGTGCCTAAAAATTTCCAGATGAGAACATGGAGGAGAAGACTGAATTTACAGTCACAGAGCAGAAGAAGTCTGCTCTCTGGAAAACAAAGGGCTGTAAATATCAATGAGAGACAGGCTTTGCAGCCCCCTCCCCCACTGGGCATTTAATGATCAGCAGGACCAGCTCCTGCTAATGAGCTCTGCCTTGCCTTGTTCTGCAGAGCCTTTAACGTGTCATTATGTGCAAGACATTTAGTCCAGGCAGAGATGCGAAAGAGCCCCCCGGCCCTCAGCCCCCCTCCCCGGCTTGGGAGGCCAGGACTGTGGTGATCCTGCTGGCCTCCTCCTGTCACCTGCTGCCTCTCACCTCCTCACCCCCACCCGTGGTGGGCAGGGACAGGTGCCCAACTGAGCCAAGCATTTCAGTCTGCTCTGCTTTTCCCGATGACTGCGTCTCAGGGCTGCGTCTCAGGGCTGCCCACGCTGTGCTGACAAGTACCTATTAAAGGACACAGAGAAAACCAGAGAAAGCGTGTGTTTTAGGGCGTGGGAGTCCTGATATGTCAGAACTCCCGTCTGCAGTGAAGTCAGTGTGCTCTGTGGAGGGGAGGAAGCGCCTCCCCCAGACAGATTCCGTGGGCGCTGGGAGAGGCCACAGTCAGAGGGAAGAGAGTGGCAGTTAGGATGATCGGGGTTTGCCACAACTTCATTGAGCTGTAATTTGCGCACCGCACAGCTAGCTCGCTTGCTTAATGTGTATGATTCAGCGCTTTCTGTACGTTCACAGACACATCACTGTCGATTTTAGAACATTTTCATCCCTCAACAAGAAACCCCAAATCTTGGACTTTCCCCTCTATATTCACTAGCTCTCTCCACCATCTCCTGATAATCTAACCCACTTCCTGTCTCTGGATTGACATGTAGAGCCAAAGTTCCTTCAATGGTCCTCGTGCAGAGTGCTTCCTCCCCTCCATGCCTAAGAAGTTCACTGTACGCATAAACCACATTTCTGTTCCACTCATCCACTGGTGAACACTTGGGCTGTCTCCACCTTTTGCTTTTGCAAATAACACTGTTATACCTTAGCATACGCATTTCCATGTGATGGTATATTGCCATTTCTCTTGGGCACATGCCAAGAGGAAGAATGGCTGGTCATAAGGTAACCCTGGATGTCATTGCTTGAGGAACACACTGATCTCCCAGTTGCTCCAACAGTGTGGGAGCTCTGCATGGCCATCCAGACTTGTCTCATGTCTTTCCTGTACCACACACTCATGATCCAGTCATCTCCCAAAAGCCCTGCCTATGAGAGCACGAGGCTTGGGGGGACATGAAGACATCAGCCATAACAACCCCTACCCTTCTAGTAAATGGTATTTCTGTGTGGCCCCAGCCTTTGCCTTTTGTGTGTACTTGCCAGCATCACTAGATGCTGCCCCTCTCAGTGGCACTATGAAGCGAGTGGTGTGGCTCAGGGTTAGCGAAACCCAGTTGATCCAATTCGATTTTTGTGACAAACCTGCTGAGTCATCTCTCTGATTTTTGTTTATCCACTTCTATAGAAATATTGGGAAAAATAAATCGGAACTGAAATAAATGAACAAATTGACTGGCAAGAGGCAGGTGCCATCACATAGCTGTGCCCTTCATGCCTTCTTACAGGAGAGGATGAATATGCAGTCGGGGGCTCAGATGACTTATTCAGTCCACTTCAGGCAGCCGGAAATGCCAGGGTGCGCACACCAATACAATAAAAACTCTAGTGATAGTTTTTGCCGCAGCAGTATTGGAAACCGTAAGATGAGAACATTGAAGGCTCTTGTAGACTGCTAATTGAATTTCTTCATTAAGTGTTAAAATGCTGATATGCTGTTCTTTCAGCCTGGTATTAAAATGCTGTGATGTATCCACTGTGGCTGTTAGCATGGTCACACTTGCCAGTCGTGTTTTGGTGATAATTCTGTCAAATGAAAAGCTGGCCTCCACTGAGCTGGGCAGAAGGGGTCAGCACTTCTCCTACCAAAGGTAGGGACTGAATAACTGCCTTCTGCTCCAGCCACTTGGCGTCTGCTACAATCACTGGGTGGGCAGTAGATTTGTAGGCAAAGTCAGATCATCACTACGCCTCAGTGCCCCAGGACACATTGGAAGTGGTGCCCAGTATCAAGATGTCACCCTCCTTGTAGGAGATGCCAGGAGAGTGACTGGCTCCAGTGAAGTTTCCAGCCTTGTGTCTAGGTAGAGTCATTGCTGATAATTTTCTTGAAACCCAGGTTAGAAGCTAAATATCAGCGGCTGTGGGTGGCTTTACAGTGGGAAAGCAGGAGCTTGATACATGAGTCATTCATTTATCCCTCTGTAACCTCAAAGGAGGACAAGAATATGGAGCACATTTTGACAAGAGCTGTGGGTCTCACAAGGAAGAGCTGCATAAGCAGACTCTGAGGCCCACAGAATTCTCCAGATAAAGGAAGAAAGAGGCACCCTAGGAAAGGGAAGAAAAATGAAAGAGAACACCCGGGCAAGGTCCAGGCAGCCACTTCCTGAGACAGACCTAGCTCAAAGAGTGATTGCTGTGATGGTACAGAGCCACCAGGGCCTGCAGGTTGCATGAGGGGAGCCAGAATTGGGGACTGACTGTCAGGACAGCAAGCATGGGGCAGAAAAGCTGAATTTTCCATTCTGTGCTGTGGACATCTAGGGCTCACTTACTCCACCATGCACGTCCCCTCGGCACCTCATGGTCAGCAGTGCTGCTGGCTCGGTGGTTTTCCTGGAATCTGGTTGGAGGTGTCATCTTCAAAACGTAACACTCACATTCTTGGTGTCATTAATCAACAAATAGTGATTGAACATCTGCCAGCACCTGACACAATTCTGCGATGGATCTCTTGATGGGTCACTGTATACACTAATAAGTAAATGTTGAAGAACAAGATCCCACCAGAGAAGTCTGTCTTGAAGATAAGAGTGTGAAGAAATTGATAGAAGGAGAAAAGCCTGGTACTTCAGGGCATCACAGGGCACATTTGCTTCATATCCACTGCTGTATAATAACCTAAACATGAAGACACTTGAGCAAGTCCCGCCTCACTTTCTATAGCTCAGGAATCCAGCAGGGACTTGAGTGTCTGGCTGAAGTCTCTCAGGTACTTGTAGTAAATTTATTGACTGGAACTGTAATCACCTCAAGATTGAACCAGGACTACAGACTCTACTTCTAAACTCACTCAGATTACAATAGTATATCTCTGCTCCCTGCTCGTTATTGGTCGTGGACTTCAGTCCTTACTAAAATGGTCTTACCCTTGGTTACCTTGAAGAGTGACAGCTAGCTGTCTTGAGAGTGTGCAATGCAGGGAAGGTTTAATTTGGCTTGTGTTTTAAGGGCATTCAGGTCACAGTTATATGGCTCCAGGGTAGAAATGTCACGGTAGAAGGGTGAGGTAGGGCAAAGATCTTTAGTGCTTGGCAGCCAGGCTACAAAGCAGGAAGACAGTATCAGTGGAAAAAGAAGCAGGAACTATACGGTGCTCAAGGTCGCACCAGCCTACTAAGACACACCCAGAAGAGTGGTCCATCAATTCCTCAAGTAGATCCCAAAGTCAATCAAGTTGTCATTCCACACTAACAGGGAAAGGAAGTCCAAGTTATTTTTGTAACTTGTAATGGAACGCATCACCTGTTCTGCCACTGTTGTTGTGTACACTAACCAACCCTGGTCTGTGTGGGAAGGAGCTTCACATGAGTGTGAATGTCTGGGGCTGGAGATTACTGAAAATGTCCTTGGAGGAGCACCCATGGCTGGGTAAACATCTACGTTAGCCTGCCATCAGGCAGCTTCCAGGCCACACTGCAGAAAGTGACCAGTGGTGGAGAACAGATTGAATTGGAGTGTATGTGGACAGCAACAATAGCAAACCTTTAAGCCTCGGGAGATCTCAAAGGCTGAAGAGCACCATGCTGTCTCTCTACCTGCTGGGGCGGCTTTGTGCAATCCTCCAAAGCAACAGCAAATTTATGCAATAGTTATGTCTTGACTTGGAAGCTGAGAGTGTACCTATGTGGACCCCATACATGGCCCAGGATGGAAAGGGGGGAACAAATAGAACACATGGAATACAACTTATCTGAGAGACCTAAGACTTTCAGGCAGGTACGAGAATATTTGTCAGTCCCACAGTGTGAACAAAGCAGCATCACAAAAGTAGAAATAAATCCTTTTGGGGGAAATTTGACTCAAAGCAGGAAAACTGGCACCTCTCAGTGCCAGATGAGTTTTTGACAATGAATGCTGCAGCCGTCATAGTTGTCAATGCCACAGAGAGTTCTTGGACAGAAGATCAGAAAATGTCTTCTGGCAGGGCTGAGGCAGCCCTGAAGCTCCTCCAATAATCTCCTGCCAAGACAAATAGCACCATCCTCAGCTGGTCACTTTCCTTTCTTCCTGTGCTTTTGCAGCAGTTGTGAGGGACAGATAGACATTTATCAGTGAAGAACTCAGAAATGCTGTGGAGGGCACGCATCCTGCATATCTGAGCAGGGAAACATTCCACAGGGCGTCTGTCCACATTTTCACTGTGGTGTTCCTGCCACAATGCTAGACAGAAAAGAGCAAAGTGGACAGTGGACAGCAACTCAAGGAGAAGCTCCCTCTGCAACAATACATGTCCCTGTTCAAGGCCACACATCCCAGATCGTGGATACAAATGAGCACCATGACCCACAGGAAAACAAAGAGGGCAAAGGTGTGTTGTGAATTTAAGGTCAAACTGGTACTGTTTGTAGGCCAATTCTCTTTCCCTAAGGAATGACGTTCAAAGGGCTGCAGAGTTGTCTTTCTCAGGGTCCTACTTACAGCATTGCTTACGCCCTTGCTTGTTTTAACCAGAAGGACCCTTTCTCAGGTGAGGCACAATCACATTGACTGATTGTCTCTGGAAAGAGATGTAGATGATGGCAAGGAGGTAAATGACAAAACGAGCTTGAGGCATGCAGGAGAAAAGAGGTGGGAGTGAAGAAAAGGGGGATGTGGGGTGAGTTGGGAACCCCCAAAAACAGGTGCAGAGAGAGCCTTTCACAAAGGACACAGAAACCACAAGTCAACTTTCAAATCCAAGCACCGCCAGGCCTCTTCTAAACGCCCCATGCCTGTATCACACAAAGGGAAGGCTCCTGAATGTGAGTGCGCTATGGGATTACCTGGAGAGACTTTTACAAATGACACAGCTCTGTTTCTGAGATCTTAAACTACTAAGCTTGGGAAAGTACCCCCAAGTGCATACATTTTTAACGTGTGTTTTAGATGTTTGAACAATGGAGTTCAGGGATCATCTTTGGATAAATATGATCTTGTTGGTTAGTTTTCTCTCGTGGCTGAGACAAAATACCTGGCACCAAACGTTATGGAAGGAAAGGTTTATTTAGCTCACAATTTGTAAAGTTGGGTCCAAGTCAGAGTGGCACATGGCAGAGGAATGACATTTCATGGCAATGAAAGACAGCAACAAGAGCAACAAGGGAGAATTGCGTGAGAAGACCCTTGCTGTCCCTTATATCATACGC